GTGGCAGGCATTCTGACACTGGGGGGAACTGCCACTCACATCCCCAGTGACACTAATATCAGTGATCAGTGCTTATAAAAAGTACTTGCGCTGTACTAATGACACTGGGCAGGAAAGGGTTAACATCTGGGGCGATCAAAGAGTTAGCTGTGTTTTGCTATGTAAGCATGCTGCTTTGTATTGCTCTGCTATGCAGAGCAATACAAAGCAGCATGCTGGTACTTACTGGAGAGATCTTTGTTGTTTACATACAGACCACTCCCCTGCCAGTGTTTTTCAGTGAATGTCAGGTGCCAGCAGGGAATCTTTGGCCGGGACCTGGTGATTGACAGCTGTAGGTGCCAATGGCGGCGCGGGTAGGTTGACAAGTGCATGCACCCCTACCCAGGAATGCAAAATTATTTTTATATATATATTTCAAAAAATTAGAATATTGTGCAAAAGTTCATTTCAGTAATGCAACATAAAATGTGAAACTAATATATGAGACTCATTACATGCAAATCAAGATCGTTAAAGCCGTGATTTGTCATAATTGTGATGATTATGGCTTACAGCTCATGAAAACCCCAAATCCGCAATCTCAGAAAATTAGAATATTGTGAAAAGGTACAATATTCTTGGCTCAAAGTGTACCACTCTAATCAGCTAATTAAGCCATAACACCTGCAAAGGGTTCCTGAGCCTTTAAATGGTCTCTCAGTCTGGTTCAGTAGGAATCCTAATCATGGGAAAGACTGCTGACCTGACAGTTGTGCAGAAAACCATCATTGACACCCTCCATAAAGAGGGAAAGCCTCAAAAGGTAATTGCAAAAGAAGTTGGATGTTCCCAAAGTGCTGCATCAAAGCACTTTAATAGAAAGGTATGTGGAAGGGAAAAGTGTGGAAGAAAAAGGTGCACAAGCAGCAGGGATGACCTCAGCCTGGAGAGGATGGTCAGGGAAAGGCCATTCAAAAGTGTTGGGGCTTTCACAAGGAGTGGACTGAGACTGGAGTCAGTGCATCAAGAGCCACCACACAGACGGATCCTGGACATGGGCTTCAAATGTCGTATTCCTCTTGTCAAGTCACTCCTGAACAACAAACAACGTCAGACGTGTCTTACCTGGGCTAAAGAAAAACAGACCTAGTCTGTTGCTCAGTGGCCCAAAGTCCTCTTTTCTGATGAGAGCAACTTTTGCACCTCATTTGGAAACCAAGGACCCAGAGTATGGAGGAAGAAAGGAGAGGTACACACTGCAAGATGCTTGAAGTCCAGTGTGAAGTTTCCACAGTCTGTTGATTTGGGGAGCCATGTCATCTGCTGGTGTTGGTCCACTGAGCTTCATTAAGTCCAGGGTCAACGCAGCCGTCTACCAGGAGATTTTGGAGCACTTAATGCTTCTTTCCGCAGAGGAGCATTATGGGGATGCTGACTTCATTTTCCAGGAGGACTTGGCACCTGCCTACACTGCCAAAAGCACCAAAACCTGGTTTAATGACTGTGGGATTACTGTGCTTGATTGGCCAGCAAACTCGCCTGACCTGAACCCCATAGAAAATCTATGGGGCATTGCCAAGAGAAAGATGAGAGACATGAGACCGAACAATGCAGAAGAGCTGAAGGCCACTATTGAAGCATCCTGGTCTTCCATAACACAGCAGTGCCACAGGCTGATAGCTTCCATGCCACGCCGCATTGAGGTAGTAATTGCCGCAAAAGGGGCCCAAACCAAGTACTGAGTACATATGCATGCTTATACTTTTCAGAGGTCCGATATTGTTCTATCTACAATCCTTGTTTTATTGATTGCATGTAATATTCTAATTTTCTGAGATTGTGGATTTGGGGTTTTCATGAGCTGTAAGCCATAATCTTTCTCCTTAATGTATCACGCGTCACCATGCATTGATTTTTTTCTCCATGGTATGCCCCAATTTTCTGAACATTCTTTTAAAACTTCCTGTCTGCTTTCCCTTTGTAGTTAAAACTTCCTCATTTTTACTGTTCTGTTCTCAACAAATGTGAAAACATCCATGATTGCAGCCAAAGGTGTATTGAATGAGAAAACTGAGAATACAATAGTATTTTTCACTATTGTATCTTTTTAGGAATGCTTTGTTTTTTATTACTATGTCCTGTAGCAAGATGTCCAAATATTCTCCTATTCTAGCGAACAAAGAATCGATCCCTCTAACAATGGGTCTCCCTGGGGATTTATTAATATTTTTATGTATTTTTGGCAGGTAGTATATTGTTGGTATCCTAGGGGTCTTTTGTAACAAATAACTTGCCTCTTTTTCTGCAAGAATCCCCAATTTCTTTCCTTTCTTTAATTGAGGTTTTAATTTTTTGGTGGGATTCTCCTTCCACACATCCAGGGCATGGCCTGGATGTGATGTCACTATACATGGCAGGTTTGAGCTTGCAGAAGATTAGTGGCGGTCGGAGATGAGCCCATCTGGAGTTTATGCTTTGTATACTTGTCGGTGGCGACACTTGTCAATGTGAGTTCAGTGTAATTGTTTTTAGGAATAAAGTGCTTTTAAATGTTTTATACTACTACCCTTTTTTCCTCCTCCTTCTGGGGATTATATGAGATAAGAGGAGCATCCAGTGGAAGGGGTGTCTAAGGAGGATCATTACACTGCAAACTGTCACTCCCAGAGTCCATGTGTTTATGCTGGTTTATCATATTACCAGCCTAGAGCTCTGGTGAGTACATTTAATACATCTGGTGGTGGAAGAGCACTCTTTGCTATTATTTTGAATACAACTGTATATCACCAGTCAGACATCACTAACCTGATCAATCACTGTTTTTGGTAGAAATTATATTTCTACATGGCAAATAATTTATTAGCAGGTGTAGTAGAGTAATAGAAATCCAACAGACCCAACAGTCATGACATGCATGCTGCTGATTCTGTGTAATTGAATCACTAATTGAAAGGGGAATGTTCAAAATAATAGCAGTGTGGAGTTCTATTAGTGAGGTAATTCATTCTTTGAAAAACAGGTGGCAGTTATTGCCCTTATTTAAGGAAGGAAGGCAGCAAATGTTGTACATGCTGGTTACAGTACATTTCTCTCTGAAATTCTGAGGGAAATGGGTCGTTCCAGACATTGTTCAGAAGAACAGCGTACCTTGATTAAAAAGTTGAATGGAGAGGGGAAAACACATAAAGTGCAGAAAATGATAGGGTGCCATGATTGCAAATGCTTTAAAATGGCAACCAAAACCTGAAAGACGTGGAAGAAAAAGAAAAAAAAAACTACCGTTCAAATGGATAGAATAGCCAACATGGCAAGGACTCAGCCAACAATCAGCTCCAGGAAGATCAAAGAAGGTCTAAAGTTACCTGTGAGTACTATTACAATTAGAAGACGCCTATGTGAAGCCATGCTATCTGCAAGAAGCCCCCGCAAAGTCCCACTGTTGAAAAAAAGACGTGCTGAAGAGGTTACAATTTGCCAAAGAGCACATTGGCCCAAAGAGAAATGGCGCAACATTTTGTGGACGGATGAAAGTAAGATTGTTCTTTTTGGGTCTAGTGGCCAGAGACAGTTTGTCAGACGACCCCCAAACACTGAATTCAAGCCACAGTACACTGAAGACAGTGAAGCATGGTTGCACAAGCATCATGATATGGGGATGTTTCTCATACTACGGTGTTGGGCCTATTTATCGCATACCAGTGATCATGGATCAGTTTGAATACATCAGAATACTTGAAGAGGTCATGCTGCCTTATGCTGAAGAGGAAATGCCCTTGAAATGGGTGTTCCAACAAGACAACAACCCCCAAACACACCAGTAAACATGCAACATCTTGGTTCCAGACCAACAAGATTGACGTTATGGAGTGGCCAGCCCAATCCCCGGATCTTAATCCAATAGTGCATTTATTGTTTAAAATCCCCGGATCTTAATTCAATAGAAAACTTGTGGGGTGACATCAAAAATGCAGTTTCTGAGGCAAAACCAAGAAATAGAGAAGAACTGTGGAATGTAGTCCAATCATCCTGGGCTGGAATACCTGTTCACAGGTGCCAGAAGTTGGTTGACTCCATGCAACACAGATGTACAGCAGTTCTCAGAAACAGTGGTTATACAACTAAATATTCATTAAGTGATTCAAAGGAAAGCAAAATCTTCAAATATTTTTCAGTTATATATAGTGAATGTTTGAGTTTATAAAGAAGAATAAAACACTGCTATTTTTTTGAACAGTTTAATATTCACTTTTCTTCAATTTTTTTAGAGAAACACAAATTTTATATATTTTTCTTAATGTTTTGATTTGGACTAGAATGTGTAGTGTTCCCAATGCATTTGTGTGTATGGAAATAAAAGCTATTAGGATTTTGAGCTTTTATTCACTTTTTTCAACACACTACTATTATTTTGAACACAACTGTATGTTAAAGAAGACACACGGATCTAGAGATTGATTTTTGTGGTGGACATTTCTATACATAGATTTATTGTTCTGCTATATAATTGTCACCAGTATTTTTACTTTTTTATAACCAGATGAATTAACATTTACAGTGCTCAGCATAAATGAGTACCCCTTTTGAAAGTAAGATTTTAATTAACATCTCAATAATATAACTTAGATTACAGAATCTTCAGTTTTACTCAAATTAGTTGATGCAAAAATGAATACACCCACAGCAAAAACTACATCTAGTATTTTGCAAAGTGTTATTTATTCAGTGTTGTCACATGAAAAGATATAATAAAATATTTATGTGTGATTTTACGCACCCCAGCTGCCTTTCTACTAGACACCGCTTTAATCAATAATTAGATTCACCTCTAGCTGAATTCTTGTTTATTAGGATTTTGTTTAAAATTTAGCTTTGCTCCTAAGACCTTCATTAGGATTAGAGATGAGCGAATTATTCAAAAATTCGATTCGGCGAATTCGCGGAATAATTTCGATTCGAGTCGAATATATTTGCTGCGAATTTAACTTGTAAAAAGGGTGTTTCTAGGCTTCAGAGAGCCTTTATATTAGTGCAGAACACTGTACCTTTAATTTAAATGCCCTTGGAGTCTGCTGGGGAAGAGAAATAATACTGTCAGTCAGTATGACATGCAGATGAGTGCCGTCGATCTTAGAATCACCGCACACTTCACTCATTTGGGCAGTCACGGGGCCAAAACCAGAGTGTGGAGCCACAGTGTGGCGGTGGAGGCAGCAGCAATGGGAGGCCATACAGCACCCTATGAAAAAATGGAACCCACCAGCAGTGTGAGGAGACCTGAAAGTGGCACATGGCAGAGTGTGGCGATGGAGACAGCAGCAATGGGAGGCCGTACAGGGACCCATGACACACTCTGGACCTGGCAGCAGCATGAGGAGGCGGTACAGGGGCCCATGACAGATTACGGGCCTGGCAGCAGCATGAGGAGTCGGTACGGGGGCCCATGGCAGATTACAGGCCTGGCAGCAGCAATGGGAGGCCCGTAATCTGCCAGCACCCTATGACAAAATGGAACCCACCAGCAGTGTGAGGAGACCTGAAAGTGGCACATGGCAGAGTGTGGCGATGGAGACAGCAGCAATGGGGAGGCCGTACAGGGACCCATGACACACTGGACCTGGCAGCAGCATGAGGAGGCGTACAGGGGCCCATGACAGATTACGGGCCTGGCAGCAGCATGAGGAGTCGGTACGGGGGCCCATGGCAGATTATGGGCCTGGCAGCAGCAATGGGAGGCCGTACAGGGACCCATGAGACACTCTGGACCTGGCAGCAGCATGAGGAGGCGGTACAGGGGCCCATGACAGATTACGGGCCTGGCAGCAGCATGAGGAGTCGGTACGGGGGCCCATGGCAGATTACGGGCCTGGCAGCAGCAATGGGAGGCCCGTAATCTGCCAGCACCCTATGACAAAATGGAACCCACCAGCAGTGTGAGGAGACCTGAAAGTGGCACATGGCAGAGTGTGGCGATGGAGACAGCAGCAATGGGAGGCCGTACAGGGACCCATGACACACTCTGGACCTGGCAGCAGCATGAGGAGGCGGTACAGGGGCCCATGACAGATTACGGGCCTGGCAGCAGCATGAGGAGTCGGTACGGGGCCCATGGGCAGATTACAGGCCTGGCAGCAGCAATGGGAGGCCCGTAATCTGCCAGCACCCTATGACAAAATGGAACCCACCAGCAGTGTGAGGAGACCTGAAAGTGGCACATGGCAGAGTGTGGCGATGGAGACAGCAGCAATGGGAGGCCGTACAGGGACCCATGAGACACTCTGGACCTGGCAGCAGCAAGAGGAGGCGGTACAGGGGCCCATGGCAGAGTGGCGAAGCGTAAGCAGCTTAAATTGAAGGCCATACAGAGGCCTATGTTAAAAATAACATGTTTGGGGCATGATTCATGGCGGATTTAGTCAGTTGTGTCAGGAACTGGTGGTTTGAAATCCAGACTAATCCACGCCTGATTCATTTTCACAAACGTGAGTCTCTCCACACTTTGGGTGGACAGTCGTGTCCTCCGCGGAGTTACAATACCTCCTGCCGCACTAAACACGCGCTCCGATGCCACGCTACTGGCCGGGCATGACAGCCTTTCAAGGGCAAATTCAGCTAGTTGGGGCCAAAGGTCAAGTTTCGTTGCCCAGTAGTCAAGGGGATTGTCTACCTCGGTTGGCAGGGTGCTGTCCAAGTAGGCCCAAGCCTGTTGTTTGAGGTCCTGCTCCAGGTCCACCTGATGCTGCTGCGGCTGGTTAGTAGTTTTCCTCACTGCGCTGGTGAAGAAAGCTACTCATCATCGACTGCAGACTGAGGCAGCCGCTGCTGGTGGAGCTGCCACTGCTCCTACCACCCCACCCCTCCCCTGCTGCCATGGCAGCGGAACGCGAGCGCACAGGGCCCACAGTGTCTGAGGATGGACGTTGGCGCAGAAAGGCAGAGACCAACTGACTACATAGGTGGTTTTATAGTACGTTATTTTGGCCTCCCTCTCAGCAGGTGTGAAAAAAGGCCACCATTTTTTAACGGTAGCGAGGGTCCAACAAGGTGGACAGCCAAAAGTCATCCCTCTGTCTGATGGTTATTATTCGGCTGTCGCTACGCAAGCAACCGAGCATGCTATGGGCCATTTGTGCCAAGGAATGCGAGGACTCCCTGCCTCCATCTCCACAGCATACTGCCACGGTGCGTCTGGGTCCTCTGTCTCCTCCTCCTCCTCTACCAGATGCTCCTGCTCCTCCACTCCTGTCCCTGAGTGGAAAAACCACCCATTTCACTCAATAATTCCTGAGCACCAATGTCCTCCTCTACCTCCCTCCTCTTCTTCCTGTCCTGCCCCCACAGGGGTCATGTGGCGTTGAGATCTGTGCGCCACGTCTACCGCACCCTGACCAGCCATTGTTAACAGCATTTGTTCCAGGACGTGCAACAGAGGAATGACGTCGCTCATCCCATAGTCCTGCCGACTCACGAATAGCGTGGCCTCCTCAAAGGGCCTGAGGAAGCGGCAGGTGTCACGCATGAGCTGCCAATGGCTGACATCTAAGTTACACAGGGAGTACCTTTATCCGCTTGTAACATCAGGAAATCGGTGATGGCCTTTCGCTGTTCGTAAAGGCGGTCTAACATATGTAGGGTTGAATTCCACCTTGTTGCAACGTCGCAGATCAGGCGATGCTGTGGAATTCCATTCTGCCGCTGCAGCTCAAGGAGGGTGTGCTTTGCGGTGTAGGAATGGCTGAAATGCATGCAAAGTTTACGTGACATTTTAAGGATGTCTTGCAGTGGGATGGTGGATTTTAGGAACCGCTTGACAACCAGATTGAACACGTGAGCCATGCATGGCGCATGGCACAACCTTCCTTGACGCAGAGCAGACACCATGTTCTTTCCGTTGTCGGTCAACATGGTTCCGATTTTCAGTTTGCGCGGAGACATCCATCTGTCGATTTTCTCTGTTCATTACACTCAGCAGTTCCTCCCCTGTGTGACTACGTTTGCCAAGGCATACCAGGTGCAGCACAGCGTGACACCGTTGCACCCTGCACATGTGATATGCCGGTCGGGTAATGGGACTTGGCACGGGGGTGGCGGCTGAGGACACGGCGGAAGAAGAGGTGGTAGAGGCGGACATCTTTGCTGGACCAAGGACTTGCAAACGTGGAGGCAAAAGCGGCGTGACCTGTCCAAGTTGCTGGTGCGGCTGTGCCGGCACCGCGTTCACCCAGTGGGCCGTAAATGACATGTACTGTCCCTGACCGTAGTTACAGCTCCACACGGCGCTGCCGTGCACTTTGGCAGAGACGACATGCTCAAAGACTGGCCCACCATCTCTTCCACATGTGAATGCAGGGCTGGCACTGCCTTTTTGGCGAAGAAATGCCGGCTTGGCACTCTCCACCGCGGCTCGGCACAAGCCATCATTTCTCGGAAAGGTGCGGAGTCCACCACTTGGAAAGGAGGGACAGCAGCATCCACAACTTCGGGGGACGGGGCAAGTAACGGAGCGGGGATGGAGTGGGGGCTGGGGCAGGGAGAACCCCATACTTTATCACGGTTTTCCCAAAGGGCCCCCGAATGCGACGCTGCATAGCTGACGCAACCTGAGTCCCAACATGGGCCCCCCGGCCACGCTTGACTTTTGGCCCCCATAGTCGACATACGGCACGTTTTCTTCCTCGGGGGGCTTGACGAAAAAAAATTTCCCAACCGCCGAGTAGGAAACTTTGCCCCCTACCCTCACGGCTGACTGCTACTTCCTCCGGCACACCGGGACCACTACGGGCCTGGGGGTAGGCTGCAGTGGGGCTGGTGCTCTACTCCGTGCCGTTTGCCTCCACTGACACTCTGCGACCCTGCCCCTGGGC